AGTCTCCTCAGTTGGCCAAGCAGATGGCGATCGCATCTGATTTTGAGCGGGTTTACGAAATCGGCGCTGTCTTCAGAGCTGAAAATTCCAACACCCATCGTCATTTGACCGAGTATACTGGTCTCGATCTCGAGATGGCCATTGAGGAAAACTATCACGAGATGATGGATATCATTGATCATACTCTCAAAAGCATTTTCAAGGGCATTTACACCAAGTACCGCAAAGAAGTCGAGCTCGTCAAAGAGCAATTCCCTAGTGAGGATCTTGTTTGGCTGGATGAAACCCCTAGAATCCCGTTCAAAGACGCCGTCCAGCTGCTTACCGACTCGGGTTGGTTGAATGAAGATGGGGAACCGGTCTCACCTCTTGAAGATCTCGCCACCCGGGACGAGATCCGTCTCGGTGAGCTTATGAAGGAGAAGTATAAGACCGATTACTACATCTTGGACAAGTTCCCGCGATCTGCTCGTCCTTTCTACACCATGCCAGATGCAAACGACGACCGATACACCAACTCTTTCGATGTGTTTGTCCGTGGTCAAGAAATCATTTCTGGTGGTCAACGTATCCATGAGTCTAAGATGCTCGAAGCCAATATGCGCATGGTTGGCATCGATCCTGACGACATGGCTGAGTACATGGAAGGCTTCAAATGGGGTGCTCCCCCCCACGCTGGGTGTGGCGTCGGTCTCGAACGTATCGTCATGCTTATCCTCAAGCTAGGCAACATTCGACTGGCCTCGTTATTCCATAGAGATCCCAAGTCATTCCCTGCGAAGCCCGCCGTCGAGAAACTTCGACATCCCGAAGCAGACACTTTGAACCCCGTCTGGAAACAAGAACGTGGGCGGGAAGTGGCAGTTCAAGACCGGAAGATGCCCGATCTCTATGATCTCATTGCAAACTACGGAGATGCAACATCTACATCTTGGGGCGATGAACGTTACCAAATCTGGCGCCATGCAGATACTGGTGCTGCCGTGTGCTATGTGCCTGAGGGCCACTACGCAATTCTCCCAGGCGACCCCCTGTGCCACCCAAGCCAGTATTACCGCGTTGTCGTCTCTTTCCTCCAATGGCTGAAGCGGGAGACGCGCTTGAAGCCCCTCTGGCTGTTGATTAGCCCGGAGTTGGAGGAAGTTCTTGGTGAGAGACTAGGTTGGAAAACTCTCTCTTGTGTCGCCGAAGAGCGGGTGGATCCTCACAAGAAGACCGCGGAGTCTGACCCGGAGGTTGCTAGAAAGATTCGCAGGGCTCAGAATGACGGCGTCAAGATCATTGACCTCGACCCTAAAGAGCCTGTTCCTGAGAGCATCAAAGAGCGTGCCAACGCCAGGGTCAAGGACTGGTTGGCGAACCGGAAAGGTACCCAGATCCATCTGTCCAACATCGATCTCTTCCGAGACGAGAGGCACCGGCGCTACTTCATCGCCGAAGACAAAGACGGCGTCCTCTGCGGTATTGCAGTCATGTGTGAAATTGCCCCTCGCAAAGGTTGGCAAGCCAAGTACACCTTGGACTTCCCAGGAGCACCGTCGGGGACAATTGAGTACATTACCACCCATGCGCTCAACGCCGCTGCCAATGCTGGTGTACCCAGCGTCACATTTGGCGGCGGTGCTGCAAGTCACTTGACACCAGGACATCATATGAGCGGTGCCAAGGTGAAGATGTTGCAGGCTACATATGATGCCATTGTCAAACAATTCAACCTCGCCAGAAAGTCTGAATTCCGAGAGAAGATGGGTGCTGTGGCGGATCCCATCTGGATTGCCTATCCCCCACACGGTCTTGGTTCTAGAGGTATCAAAGCCATCATGAGGTAAGTTCAACAGCCCTTGTTTTGTAGCGAGCATCGAGTTATCCATTCAAGAAAAGCAAAGCTGATCCATCGTGGAAAACAGATTCTTCCAGGATGAACCTTAGAAAGGTGCAGGTTATCCACGTCTGAAATCACGTCCCACGATCTGGTTATCTCGAGCAAAACAATCACTAATGACACGGGTCACATATGTCCTCTCGGGTATTCCATGTAGCTGGTACACTGGTTAACGCAGGTCAAGTGCAAAGACTTTGCCTTGGCTATGTCCTCACGGGTCCTTTCAATCAAGTGTGCAGAACGAGTGATTACGGTAACGCAGAGACGAGGCTGCTCTCAGGATCGGATTTGTTGACGATATTTCGGCAGTTCGGAACTATTGATGGATTGAAATATCATGGCTGTCTGCTTTTGTTTTTCCCTAATGTTCGTTGGATGATGCGTTCAGATACCACATAGCACAGCAAAGCAAGTATAAGTACCTGGCATACAAATCCCGACACGACCCCTTATCGACCAGTGGAATAGAATGAGACATTTCCACCCTGGATAAGTTCACCCGTGATTTGAATGTGCTGCGGTCCCGACTGTCGATATTCGGTCGGTGTCCATCATGGGTTTATCCCAAGTACCCAGGCAAGCTACTGTAGGTATATACAAAACGCCCCTACCAGCTGCCAGCTTGTTCTGAAAGTCCATCTTGTCGTTGTTGCTCGATTTGTATCATTTGATATGTAGAGGATAGCTAGAGTAGTTAGTTGGTGGCATGGTATAGCATGGCATGACATGACGTTGCTCCATGAAGAAAGAAATAGGAAGACAAAAGAAAGACAATCAGAGGATTCGGCAAAGTAAGTCATGAACGCGCTGAGTCAACAAGAGGGTTCGTTATCGTTGTCATTGTCGTTGTCGTTAACGTAATGCTCTATGCAGATTTCTTCTGCTCTGCTCAGCTGTGCATGGATATCATATCATGTCATGTCATATCACATCCCGTGCGGGTTGCGTCTAGGTCCGATCCAATCTATTTTGAGCACCGAGCCGTCGTGGTCCTGCGTATTCCTTTGTATTATGGCACCAGTGATTGGTGACACATATCAGATACATCCCTCTCGACCTCTCGAGCATTCCTTGACTTTTTGGGCCCGTATTTGGGGGAGAAGGGAGAAGAGGCCTCATGAAGTCTCCTTCATCCGTCCGCACACACTGCACGTCCACCACTGGTTTTCCATCCACGTGCCGCATCGGCCGCAGGTCCAGCCCAAGGGGCTGGTCTGGGCTTTCTCCTTGGCCGCCGCTTCGAAGCGTGCGATGTTATCGGCGGCGCCGAGGCGGGGCGTAAGGACCGAGGAAGGATGGCGAGGACGGACATTGGTGGACGACGAACGCGATTGAGAGATGTTGGCTTGAGATTTTGTCGGTCTGGTAGCAAAATGCGAGCTGCTGGTGGGACTGGATGTCGACGACTGCGAGTAAATGGCTGGCCGCTCGGTCTCGCAGGCTCCGCACAGCAGATAGTTGATTGGGTTGATGAGGGTGCAGACTTCGCAGGTCCATGTTTCTTCGTCCTGGGGCAGTTCTGGTGGTGGATGGTTGAGAGGCGGAGTGTTTGGTTTTGTGGCTTTTGGTTTCGTCTCGGGTTCATACTCTCTGCCTGGTCGTGACTGTTGTTGTTGTAGCTGCCGCTCAATCTGAAGTTGTTCTTCCCGCAGCGATCTCGTGTCAACTGGAGGGACGATACTGTTGCCCTTCCGGACACCTCCTATGGGATTATCCTGACTGGGAGGGACATATCCCGCGCCCACCATCTGCGCCTCTTCTTCTTGGATCATGTCAATGTATGCCTGCATCAATGCCGCCTCGTCCTCTTCCGCTTTGTCGGCCTTGGTGGTGGTGACTTTCTCCTTTTTGACAGCCTCTTCCTGCATTATCTTCCGGTCCATGTCGGGCACGGCGCTGCCACACCCGCGGCTGATGCGATTGCGTTTCTCGGCGGCAGCAGCGATGATCTCTCGAGCGTTCTGGCCTCGCAAGATGCCCTGACCGCCGACCTTTCCTCCACTGCCTTGCGAAAGGACCGACACCTGCCGACGTCTCTCCGCCGCTGCACGGGCTTGTCGTTGAAGCTCGGCTCTTGGTATGCCCCGACCCCCAAGCCGAGTTCCTTTGCCGAGAAATCCCTCGCCGGTATAGCCCTTGCGAAGGAGTGTTTCGTGCTCGTCGCGGAGTTTATCCCACAAGGCGTGGAAGGCCTGGTCATGCGGACCGTGGACAATGTGGCATAACTCATGCAACATGGTATCCACGACGTTCTCGAACGGCAAGAATTGTGTATCGTCTCCGGGGTACCGTAAGCGGAGATAGATCTTTTCGCCACGGTTGACGTTCAGGCCTAGCAGAAAGTGGTCTTCAGGCAAGAATTCGCATAGCATTCCGACACGCCAGTTGCGAATTCGCATAATGGGTTTCACAATAGAAGCTGTCCTCTTGAGGATGTGGAGGGCTTCATTTGCACGAGATTTTGTGGACAAATGCTGGAATTGATCGACCAAGGGGTCGAGTTCTGTTCCGCGTGCGTACGACATTTCTTCAGGTGGAGATTTGATGATTGCTGAAAAGAGGAGGGTATGGGGAAGACCGGATGATCAAAAATCAGAGATGTAGAAGAGTCACTGTTCGAGCCCGGCTAGAGTAGACTGCCCCCTGACTTGACTATGGCCACTGGGTGCTACTTGTTTGTCACAACAACCTAGTGAATGCCAGATGGATTGGTGAGCAGAAAAGGGAGAACAAACAAGATAAAACTGCAAGAATTTAGCACGCTATCAGGGACTCCTCAAGACGCCGCCGGAATATGCCAGAAGGAAAACTGTTTGAAGCTCATAGTGTGAAATAGAGAAGAATACGGATTCGTAATGTATCCCAGCCTGATGGCGACAGGAAGCCCCACGTGACCCTCCACTAAATGGGCCACGCATGTGGAAATTCGTCCCCTACGATTCGCCTGCGCCAGACCACGTCCTTCCCCGCGCCGCCAGCGTAGACTGCCGTGACTGACTGCATACTCGGTACTTGTACCTGAAGGCCAACTCTCGACCGTCAATTTGTTCACCGGCCAAAGGACCAGCAACTTCTGATACAGCTTGATGACAGAGCAGTACCACTATCCAGCTCTATAATGACGAGTGACGACCAGCAATTCCTGGACCTGGTAAGCCATCCTCATCACCCACCATCACTCCTGCGACAATGACCACTGACAACCCCTCCCTCAGCTTGCGTCCATCCCACAGGACATGGCCCACTATGGTAGTCGCATAGCAGACTACGTCGACAAGCACGCAAATGCCCTTGCCAACGACATCCGCGACGCCATTGACCGAGCAAGCTGGATTCCCGACTCTCTTCGACCTCCGCGCCACCCGGGCGGAGGGCAAGGTCCATTTTCTGCTCGGCCACCTCCCCCACCTCGCGGTATCCTTCAGAAGACCACAGCTTGGGTTTCCAGAAACCGGACCGCAATTGCCATAGTGGTGGCGTTCGCCGGCACCACCCTATACCTCATCCATCGCAGGAAGAAAGCACATGCGAGAAAGAGACGAGCGAAGAAACTGCCCAATGGCGCGAAAAAGGAGATTGTCATCATCGCTGGCTCGACCTTCCACGACGCACTTACACGCTCATTGGCGCTTGACCTTGAACGGAGAGGTTATGTCGTTTATATCACCGTCTCTTCCACCGAGGAAGATTCTCTTGTGCAACAGGAAGCGAAGGCTGACCTGCGCCCACTCTGGATCGATTTAACTTCCACCGTCCCGAACCCTGCGGTCGACGTGCATCCGAATCTGGAATCCATCCGTGACCTCCTGACGAAGTCATCTCGGTCCTCATCACCCAGCAGGAGCTCGCACCGCTCAGGTTCCTCGATGGGGAATATGACGTTGGCTGGCCTCATCGTCTTCCCCGGCAGCTCAGGCTACAGCGAAGGACCACTGGCATTGCTCCCTCCATCCGATATAGTAGATACAATCAACACCCGCCTTGTCTCGCCTCTCTTGACAGTGCAACAATTCCTCCCTCTACTGGCGAACCACAGCCTGATCCGAAATCACCTTCGTCTATCATCATTGCATACCCGTCGATCCCGCATAGTCTTTCCCCACCACGTCAAATCCCAGAATGTCTAGTTACGTCGTCCCTCTCAGCGCTTGCAGCCTCACTACGGCGAGAGATCACTGCAGCAAACGCAAACATCACTGTCTCGGAACTCAAATTGGGAAATTTTGATATGGGCTCCGTCACCTCCTGGTCAAGAACGACTCCAACACAATCGACCCTCCACGCTGGTCCGTCGTCAGCGCTTACGCATAACAGCTCTCACTGGCACTCGTCGCAACGTGCGGCTCATCAGCGCAAGTCACTGGGACAGAGAAGTTTCATCCGTGGCTCCTCGGCAAGAGAGTTTCACAACGCAGTATTCGACGCCCTCGCTCCGCCACAGACATATAGACCATTTGGGTTCAGCTCCTTAGAATTCACTTCAAATACAAGACCGAACGTCATTTTCGTCGGCAGTGGTGCGAGGATTTACGATTATGTAGGCAAGTTGATGCCTGGTGGACTGGTGGGGTTGATGATGGGATGGAATCGAAGGAAGACAACTTCACGGTCTGCGGATGAAATGCACAAGTCGGTACGATATGATGCAAGTGGCAGCGCGAGTGCCAGTGGAGTCGAGACTCCTGCTGGTGGTGGTAGCTCGTCCATAGCAGGACATCCACTTTCAGCTTCAGGCTCCCCGTCGGCTTCAGCTTCGGGATGGGGCTTTCAGTCGTTGGGCAGCGAGAGCGGCATTTGGGAGAAAGTATGAACGTGGCGGCTGCTGCCCAATCGTACTATGACAGCGGTTGATTCTTGCTGTTGGCCTATATCTCGGCCGTTTGGCTTTACGTCTCTCTACCACCTCTCCGAGAGCCTGCGGCGTCCACGAGAACTTTTATGATCTATCTATCTATCACGGCCTTGGTTGGGTGATCGCGAAGAAGAAGGCCCCTGAGGGCCAAGGAGGGAAGAAACGGCAGGGACTTGGTTGACGTCTTCACTCACTCACTCACTCGTTCACTGACTCGACTACTTGCCCATTTACCTTTGGTTCTTGTCAGTCAGTCATATATATTTATTCCCTGCTCACCTTTAAAAAAAACACATTTCAGTTTCAATTCGTTTCATGTTTCGGCCTTGTCGTTATAACTAACTAGAGAGAGAGAGAGAGAGAGAGAGAGAGAGAGAGAGACTTGATAGAAAAGAAGAAGGCAGGTACGCCGTAATCTGGGAGTCCTAACAGTCTGGTCAGAAGGGTTTCCCTCCCGTAATATGGAACTCCCGTGCGCTGGGCCGTGAGACTCTGATTTCCTTCGTCCCAATACCCTTCGCCATAGCAAGGCAAGGCAAGTTCATGACAACGTCGATGTCAATGTTAGCGCCCACATCAGCCTCCAACATTCGAGGTCCTCGTCCGTCCATGTCGGTATCGGTCGCGGGAGGGTGGTCTGTGACCGTTGCTCGTCTCTCTCCCGCCTCCACCAGATGTGATACAAAACGCAGTTGTTCCAATCCTCTTCCAACCTAGACCCCTGCCCCTTGCCCCTGTTCTTTCTTGCTTTCTCGCTCTACGCGAGAGCGATCGGATGTTTGAGAGGAACCAAGAAGGAAGAATCAACGACATTCATATCTGGCTTTGGACGAAATCTGTCTGACTCTGAGACCCACGATCGAGCCTCCACTCGTCCAATTGCGCCCAAACTTGCTGGTAGTCAATCCGGAGCTGAGCGGCCTCTTTGTTCATTTTGAAAGACAAAAGTACAGCTTCGACGTTGGCTAACATGGTCAGAACTTCAAAGCCGCCATGTTGCAGAGCCCCTTCGATTGCCAATCGGAAGAACTTCTCACTCTTAACCGGCGATTTCATGTGATAGTAGAGCCGTCCCAGCTGCATACAGGCAAAGACGCTGAGAGGGTCGCCATTCTGCTTGCCGCTGAGGACAATACTCCTGCTGAGCATCTGCATGAGGAATTTCTCGATTGTTGAGTACTCTCCTGCATATATTGCCAAGCGAACCGCCGTCTCTATAAGAAGTGAGCGCTCTACAGTCAGGACAGGATTATCTAGGGGATTGGCGTGCGACAGACGCCGATACAAACGAGATTCAGCACCAAATTGGCCGGACGCTCTAAAAATGTCTATTATGGTCAACTGTATTTTCGTACAGACAGAGTCGTCGCGAACTGATTTCGTTTGGTCAAGTAGGAGTTCTCCATATAGTCCCAAGCACGAATCCAGATGTTCCCGGTCGACATTCAGGAGAAGAGTCGCGAAATTGGTTATGGGATGGGACACCCCCAAGGTTGTTTTGGCCAATAAAGCAAAGAATTCCAGGACTGCCAGACCTATCTTGCTGCTGATATCGCGAATATATTTGAATGTACTAAGGACTTCCGGCATCAGTTGAAACGGTTGGGATTTCAGGAGAGCATGAAAGCCAGAGCAGGATCGATTGATAAGTCCAAACGCCATGGAGTCGTTTCTGCGAAGAAGAGAACCGGCCATTCTCAGCCCATGGAAGACTTGTTGAAGCTGCTGCGTCAACCCATAACGAGGCTTGATCTGGCTCTGGGCCAGATACCATGAATGATATGAAGACGTATATCTCAGCAAGGATTCGATAGCTTGAGTTTCAGAGCCAAGTTGGAGCCGAAGCCGCTGTGGTGAAGGTGTGCGCAGGCGTGGCGGGAGCCGCGAACGTGGATTTCCCCTGTAGACTGGAGATGGTCGAGGAGCAAGGATGACAGGCTTTCTCTTTCGCATGACAGGGCGCCATAGCCGACGTTCCTTGAGAGGCACACCGTTCACTCGGAAAGGCAAGTCGCCACGGGTCTCGGATGGGGCTTCGCGCAGCTGTTTGATGGCGTCTAGCTTCTGCGGTTGGGTATAGTTCTTCCGCAGGCCCCAGTCCCGTAGCCGTTTCTTGTACATTTGTTCACTATCGATATCAGCCTCATTCCAAGCCTGACTGCTTTGCTCACATACGTGGCATCAAAATTATGCTGCTCCTTCATTCTCTCTCGCACTTCATCTAGGCTTAGCTGCTGGCCGATATACAGATCGTGGATGAACGGCCTAAACCTCTCCCAGACGGTGGATGGTATGACCGGCCTGCGCAGTCGTAAAGGCAATGAATTCGGTGTCTGTGATTGGACTGAAGATGGGGCGAAGTCTTCGAGGACTATTTGCTGGTTGACAACGAAGTCCGACGATCTGTCGAGAGGAGCTGCGACATGTACATCCGTATCGTCGTTGGACTCAATCGCAAAATCTCCAGAGTCATCGCACATGTGTATGTCAGATTGAGAGATCAGAGCCATGCTTCCAGTCTGATGGTCCCACCCCATCCCTAGGGATAGTGGTGGCAGCAGGTAGTCATTCATCGTCAGGAAGAGTAGCGGGCAGAGGGGACGGCCGCGACCACGCAGGGTGTGATCGACTTAAGTACCAATATTGGGCACCTGAGATAGAAGCCATTATTCTCGATTTGTGTAGCAACTTTTGGCAGGCCAGGCTGCCAGGGTGGTGAGTCTTAGGGTGAGGCTGTTGAAGAGTAGATGCGCTGGGATGAATGAGCGGCAGCGCTGATTGGCAGCCGCATTCGACGCCACAAAAACCTTTGAGACTCCGATGACAGCCCGATTATGCAGGACGACAGGCTCGCTGTGCTAGACTACTACAACTACTGCACGAGACACATTTGGAACATGAATTACCCGCCCTCAACCATTGTTCTTTATGACCTGTACGAACAGGAACAGTCGAGACCGCGCCCATATCGACACAGATCCCAAGTAGCGCCGCTTATCCACGGATCTGTTCCTTCGCTCTACCGCGCTTCTACCGAACTTCTCCCTTGCCCAGATATTCGGCTCGCCGATGCTTAACTGCTGGCCATCCTGGTATTCAAGGCTCGAGAACCCCATGACTCTAAGGTGATGAAGTAGCAAAAGGACGAGTCAACGTGGTGTCTTACACAGAGAATGCAATCACGGCCTACTGTCACTGCAAGATGATTACAGTTCCTCTCGAGAGCTTCGCGGACCAGTGATGCGTGACTAGGACACGAGGTCATGACTGAATATCTTTACGGGGGTTCAAGGGGCCGTTTGTCGACGTGGGTTACGGTGAAGAGCATGGCGAGTCCAGGCCTTTCCGTCTTCATCTCGCTGCGTGTGGCATGCACTGGGTGAAGGCCATGCACCAATTCCATGTCCTCTCGGCCCGAATATTTACTCTCTCTTGTGATATGTCACTATGGGGAGGTAAAGGCCAGGTTTTAAGTACTGCTCTGGAAGAACATTGAACATCGTAAGTTTGCCTATTCTTTACGAACAGGAATACCGTTAGGAAATCGCCTCCTGCCTAGCTCAACATCAATCGGTCGACTTCCTTCTTGGTACAAGGCAGCCAAGGATGGCGTCGAGGTATGCGATCTCGGGCATGCCCCGTAGCTCAAGTTTGACGGTAGGAGACAAACAGCCGCAAGTTGCGGCCATACAACAGCTGCCGCGGACGGCCGCGTACTTTATTCGCAGTTTGGATCACCCGCAAGGTCAGGTATTCCACATGGTCAAACCAGAAGATATCTCATTCACACCTCCCGTGGTGCTCAGACGACCTCCATTGCCGGAGGCGCGGCAGATCTCTCTCCAGATGGTGGTCCCATGTATCTTCTTTGTCCAATACCCCTGCCGGCAGAAGTGTCGCAGCCTGGGGATCTGTGTCCACTACCAGTTCGTGATCGGCTGTCGAAAGTGTCCTGATGGACTGAGATGTAGCACTTGTGTACAGAGCAGCGTGGAACAGGTATGAGAATTTTTCGTCCTAGTGGCCCGATTTGGGGAGATAGACATATGGGCTAAGCACCGTGACGTTTATACAGGCTATCCAAGCAAACCGCAAATGTCCACTCCATCAAGACCCCACGCAGGCGAATCCCATCAACAACCGCCCGGAAGATTTCCTAGCCACTGATACCCAGAAAGATGTTTGCGACCAGGTATTGCAGCGGTCGTTGGCCTGTCAGTGGGACGACATGCCCACGACTCTGACCACTAGGACCGACCAAGGGCGCCGGGTCGTTCATCATGGCCTCTTCCACCGCGAAAGCACACCCAGAGACATGCGGGACGTCAGAATGTTGGCGACACTGGATGAAGACGAAGTGATGGCCGACGAGAGCCAAATCCAGTTGTCCATGGCTACGGATCTTTCGGCGTGTTTTGGTGGTTCGAGCGGAGTGCAGGCCAATATGCCACGGCTTTTTGGATAAGGCGAGTGCGGTATGCACCACAAATTAGGCCTCAGATATCGGAGTGGAGAAAGCCCTTTGGTCATTCATCCTATCCAGAATGTCCTGGCGGGGTGGGTGGATGAATGGATAGATAGATGGGAGGGACTGAAGCAGACTGTGTCGGCCGTCGGTAGATCCTGTTCCTGAGCGATCAGGAGTTGAGACTCTTCTCTACATGAGAATCCACATACATGGAATTTCAGACAGACATCTGCACTCCAAGCCGCGCATGTCAACACACTCCTTTGCTAACGAACCACCACAAGATACTGTGCCAAAGCCTGGCCCTCGAACAGTAGCGTAGCTGATCAACTCACCACCTGCGTGGCGCGATGCACTTACCGAGCTGAGCTGACGAGCCGACAGAACCTGGGATGAATTCCTCGGATGCGGTCTGGAATGGGGCGGACTGAAGAATGAAAGATGACAGATCACAGACAACAGACACCAAACGACGAAGGCGCGGACAACGACAATGACAACGATGTAAGACAACTCCAGAGTCCAGATCTCTGACACGATCCTTTGAACTTCCATAGCCTAGCCAGGATTTGGGGGGGGGGGGGGATGTTGGGATATTCACAACACCGCAACACACCACACAGAGGCACAGGCACAGGCACAAGTTGACACACAGGCACGCACACACGGTGCGAAAAGGAGAGACTTACCTTGATTGGCTTTATGTGTTCTTGCGTATGGCGTATCGCCCTGTCTGTCGCGGCTTCGTTCTTGAGACTAGCTAGCTTTCTTTCTAGCCAGCTGGCTCCTTGAGGTTCGCGCAGCCTTGTTTGTCAAAGATCAAAGACGAAAGACCAAACAGTCAAGAGTCAACAGAAAACGATGAATACCTCATACCTCGTACATGCCTATCGCGTTATCCTTCAACCACGGCACACGAAAGGAAAAAGAAGAAAGAAAACAAAGAGCTCTGCAAGCGAAGTCGTGGGCAAGAGATAGAGAGATCAAAGACATAAGAAAGGCCAAGGCTAGAAAGGAACGGAGGAGAAGAGGCGAAGAGCATACATGTCTTGTCAGGCGTAACACGTAGATAGATAGAAAAAAAGGGGGAAAGAAGTTTCCGGATATGCAAGCACTCAGAATTCCATTTCCTCACTCCCTCACTCCATACCTCCCTCCCTGCCTGAACTTGATCCGACCGACTGAGCGGAAGTTTGGATTGAGTTCATGATCCAGGAGTTGGGAACCTGTGAGTAGGTAAAGGAGAAGGAGGAGAGAGAGGGCGCGGGAGAGATGGTAGATTCCCCCTTCATGTCAGATCAGCACAGCACAGCGTACAAAAAGAGTTGTAACTCCGGACAAGATGAGTTGAGTTGATATCCAAATTCCATTAGAGAGAACCCGATATCCATTCCACCCTTCCCCTGAACAACATGACAGAATCTACCAACAAGTCATGTCATGCACATCTTTGGTGTCTCTAGACTCCCCATCTTGCGCATTGTGATGGTTCCCTTCCACTAAACCTCAGTAGCCAAAATCCAGAGCCAAACTCGACAATGACCATATCGATACTGTGCACGATAAAAAACACTGACGACGCTCATATTATCCCATACACCTAGATCAGGAGCCGAGGCAATCATTTGCCTCATTTGTGTCGATCGTTCCCTCTCCGATCAGTTATTGTGACAACGGCGCGTCTCGCGAGAAAGGTTAAATGGTCATCATGGAGTCGCTTGTTTCACTATCTTCGACCTACCCATCTATTCTCATATCGATAGACTGCCAGTCGTCACAAGTCATCAGAGGAAATCTGTCTCTTGTGTTGACACGCCCAAGCGAGCTCCACATCAGTGCGATCTTCAAAATCGTACACTGTCAAAGTGCCCAAGATTCGGCTTGCAATGCACCGGAAAGGCTATGTCATGGCACGGTGGAATTGGAGGGGACATTGTGGAGCTTTCAGTTTGACATCCTCCCAGTCCTCGGTTGTCTGAGAAAAAGGGAGATGGATTCACAACATCGGCGGCAAAGTCAAGAGCCTGTAGGACGGGACTGCGGTAGAATTGGGGGGCCCCGATGGACCCTGGCAGCGGTGACTGCAACTTTTAGAGGTCTGCTCAGGTTAGTGCATGGTGTTTGCGTAGGCCCTGTTTACCATCATGATGGAATAATGCATCATGGGCGTAACGGGTCGCATGTGAGATTACATCGTCGCCAAGGGAGGAGGAGTACATAGTAAGGTCCGATACCCAATTATGTCGTCGGTGATGGGAGGCCTGCGGTGTGCGCTGTATGCCAACAGGGTCAGCCTAGCAGCCGAGTCGAAAGGAATACCTAAATGCCCATTTAAGGAGGTTAAAATGTCAACCACCAGGTGCGTTGCGAGTGTGGGATTGCAGAATGAGGTGGGCGCCGGCGGCGGAAAGCTCGTCAGTGGTTGGCAGGTGGCAGCGAGGTGGCCCGATGGTCTGTGCTTTCGGAAAAAGATGAGATGGAGGGTGAGTGGAGGCGGCTGGGAAGTCAGAAGTCAGGCAATCAGAGACGGGGACCAACGCCACTGACGCCAATGGCTGGAGCTACCTGATCCACTTGGAGGTGTGCAACCGATGCCAGTGATACCGCGGGGTTCGGGCGGTTTTGGTTGAACGAGCGAGGGAGCTGGCTGTTGTGGAATGTCAGAAGCACGAGACACGGTCCAGTCTGAGCTCGGAGGTGAGACAGATGCGAACATGACGAGGTGGGCTTTTGGCTCAGGAAACTCTGATGAAAGATGGTGTCAAAATTCAAACTGACTGTTCATTGACGTCGAAACAGACTTGGGTAGCGATGATGTCATGGGCCTGCCACAGGCAACACAAAGAGCACAAACAGACAACACGTGACAGGGTGGTTGCATACTACAGAATGACAGGATTCCAACTCCATCATCATCGTCTGGGGGCCAATGTCGACGGCAAGAATCCAACGCAATAACCTCAGATCAAGTCAAAACTCACCCGAGATTGCGACGCATATGACAAGCACACATGTTTAATGATAGCATCTTCTGCATTTGAC